CCTCCAAATATCACCCCACTGGGGGTTAGATTTGGACATAGGAATTTTAGGGAGACACAAGCATTCAGTCTATAAACAGAGCACGTGACGAGATCTGTTTCTCAGACCCAAGGAGATGCCAACCAGAGGACAGTGGAAGACCAGAGGAGGAAAGGCCCCCTGAGAGGGCGAGTGGAGGGTGAGAAGGGTGTCCACTGTGGATGGACAGGTTGCGGGTCACTGGGGAGGAGGGGGAATGGCTTGGGTAAAGGTCAGGAGATGGAAGTCCACATGGACTGTGTAGGAGATACTGAGGGAGTGGGCCAGCAGGACAGCAATGACAGACGAGGACAGAAAACCATCATACTAATCGTTGTAATAATAAATACCAACACTTGGTCTTAATACTACACTCCAGGCACTGTTCAAAAAGCTTCAGATGAAGTATATCATCAAACTCTGACAACATCCTTATGACATGGGTACTATTAGCTACACTTTACAAGGGAAACAGAGAGGTAAAGTATCTTGCCCAAGGTCACACTGCCATGAAGTGGCAAAACTGGGCTTTGATTCCAGGCAGGCTGACTTCCGAATCTGTGCTCTCTTCAACCTACTTTAGTTTGAGCAAGGAGGAGTTTGAGCGAGAGAAACATTATAGAGATTTTAAAAAAAATCTTACTCCACAGGTGGCAGAAGTCCCTCAAACATGTATTGAGCGCCTTCTGTGTACTAAGCACTGGTGACAGAGAACAAGAGGGCCCCTGCCCAACCAGCATGTAGCACAGCGAGAAAGACAGTGGGTGCCGGAGCTGGCTCACTCTGGTTCTCTGGAGCCCTCTCTGTGCCTCTCCTCCGGCTTGTCAGTGACATCACACTGGTGGCTTGAAATCGACCATAGTGACAGTGTTTACACCATGGAAATTGGCCAACATCACAAGTCAGGATTTTTCACAGTTCAGCACGGCCTGTGAACGACTGAAAGTATGGTGATAAAAGTCTTCACCAGGTACAGGTGGCATAGAGGGTTGAGACTGACTCGATTTGGGGGAGCCAAGGAGCCAAGGCTAACACCACGTGTGGAAGGATGAGCAGGCGTTTGCTATGAAGACAACATAGTACAAGGCAGCCCAGACAAGCGTGGAACAGCAAGACAGCTTCTCTGGTCCCATGAAAGGGAACTATGAATGTGAAGGAGTTTGGCAACTTACAAGGTGCCTAACAGGAGGGTGTTGGCTAAGCAAATCCAATACAGGATTTGTAATAAAGTGAACTAATTGAGGGTGGGGAGGGAAGTACCCATGTCATAACACACTGACCTTTGTTCTTTAGCTTTGGGACAGCGTGGCACCGGTAGAGCTGTGGAAACAGTCTGGAGACACACTCGTCTCGGGCACACAGACCAAAGGGGGCCCCGAGGAGGGAAGTCCTCAGAGGACTTCAAATGTGGCTCAGCTGGGCCTCTGCCCAACTCTTCAGGGGAGCCTGGGCTTTGGGGAGGGACCTGGCATAAGGGAGAGAGCAGGAGAGAACACTCTAGGCCTGCCAGCTAGCTGGGATGTGTTGACAAAGGCTTTGGAATGCTCTGTATATTGGGGGATGGAGGTGGTGGCAGGGAAGCTGGTGGGAATGGGACTAGAACAGGGGGCGGAGAAGGTCAGGTACACAAGGCTGAGCATGTACTTCCTGCCCGTGAGAGGTGGAGCCGGAGCCGGGCTATACCCCCTCAAAGCCTGTTTTGTCCTCCTTGTGGGGTCCTGGTGCTATGTGTTGCTTAGCAAGCCGACCTTTCTCCTCAGGGACCCCTTTGGTCCCTGTGCCAGAGACAGGGACAAGTATCTCACCAGACTGTTCCACAGCTCTGCTGGTGCCACGCTGTCCCAAAGGTTTTGAAGGAGACTGAGGTCACCAGGCTGTCTGGACAGATGCAGCTGCCAGAGCCAGAACCCTTTGATGGGTCTCGTATCAAGGTTTTGCTCCAGGAGATGATCGAGGGCTTCATTGCCCTGCCAGCTGCTCCCATCAGCCCTGAGCCCCCTGGGACACAGGCAGCCAGTGTGCAGAGACTGCAATTCAGGAAAGGGATGGGCTGGTGCTCTGGCCACGTGACCCAAGAGATTGGCCCAAGGCTGACCTTGGCTAAGCCCCCATTCACAACAGGTTGTTTTAGGAGCAATTTGTAGAAGGGAGCTGCAAGTTTGGGGTGAATAAATGGATAACTACACACATGCTATGTAATTTAGGTTGCACAGCAGTTTACAACAAACTCAGAGAGGCTGTACCCTGAGTTGCAAAGTCTTGAGGTGTGGGCAAGGGGTGGGGGATACCCTGGCCACTCCTGCCCAGGAAGTTCTGGCCCAAAGGCAGACCAGTGTCGTGAGGCTTGGCCCTTCATAAAAGGGCAGAGGGCTTTTGGAGGTCCTGAGAGTGTGTGGTCACAGACTGGTGGCTGAGGTGGCGACTGCTGCTGGCCCTCAACATGCAAGAAACCTATGTGGTGACGGGCCTCACGACGTGGTCATACCAAGGTACCTTAGGGTTCCCTCAAGTACCCATTCTGACAGTCCCTCTGCATGTGTGGGGCCACACCCAGGGCAGGCACAGAGAGCTGATAAATAAGGTGTGCCTGGTATCGCCCCATGAGCTGGGAGATATAAAAGGCTAAACTGAGTCTGGGCGAGATCCCCACTGTGTCTCGCCCAAGGCAGTGAGGGGCTCACTGGGGCACATTCCTGCCTCCCAGGTCATGCTCTCTGACTCACTCTTCCCCTGGGATGGCGCTTTGTGTCTGTTGTCTCTCACATTTTTGCTAAGCCAACAGCTGAGCTCACCTAAGTGAGATGTTGGCACAAGAAGAGGGTGCTGGACACACACCTGTTGCTCCCCTTGTGCTGCGGTTGTGTGTGAATGCACATCCCTCCCTGGCCACCATCCCCGCCTGACTGCCAGCTCTCTGTCTTGCTGCTCCCTATCCCCACAGTGCCTGCTTTGCTTATCCCGTCGAAATCCACTGTCTGCCCTCATGGTCCAGCTCGGCCTTCCACAAAGCCCTACTGAGAACTGCGTTCTCTTCCTCTCAGTCTTGAAGCCCTTGTGTGAAGTTCTAAGTTTTTCCAATTTATAGGTGACTGTTCCATCCTCAGGGCCCGCACACCGAGTGCCTGTAAGGGTTTGTTTGACTGTACTTTCCTGGGACCCCTCGACTCCCACACATCAGCCTGAAGGAGCAAGCATTAATTAGGCTCCTGTGTGCCAGGTGCAACCAGGAATTTTTCACATACACTAATTTAAGATGCCTGACCCTGGGAGGTGGGGTTTGTTACCCAATTAGGAAACAAATCAGAGAGGCTCCATGATCTGTCCACAGTCACAGAGTGATGGAGCCAGGATTCAAAACCGAGTCAGTCTGACTTAAGACCAGTGTTTCCCCCACCCTTTCTAAGCAGTCATAAAATAGTGACAATCATTTATCATTTATGCTGTATTCTCACAGATGTGATTTCATTTGATCCTCACAACAGCCCTGTGAGGTAGGTAGGGTTACACATTACTGTTATGCCCATTTCACAGATGAAGAAACAGAAGTGGCTCAGTGAGGTGAGTGACTTGCTTAGTCACACAGCACGTTAGTGGCTTCACAGGTTCTGTAATTTCTCTAAAGTCAAGCTGCTTGAATTAGGAAGCACCGAAAAGATGAAGAAAGAGTTTTATGGAGAGAAAAAGGGCAGTGGTGACTTATTTCTTCCTCAAATTGTTTTGTGTGCTGGGAGCAGTGGCTCATGCCTGTAATCCCAGCACTTTGGGAGGCGGAGGTGAGAGGATTGCTTGAGCTCAGGGAATTGAACTAGCCTGGACAACTTGGCGAGACTTTGTCTCTACAATAAATCAAAAAATTAGCCGGGTATAGTGGTGCGTACCTGTGATTACAGCTACTTGGAAGGCTGAGGTGGAAGGAACACCTGAGCCCAGCAGGTCGAGGCTGCGGTGGCCTTGAGCATGCCATTGCACTCCAGCCTGGGATACAGAGTGAGACTCTGACTCAAAAAAAAAAAAAAAAAAAAGTTTCTCCTGGTGAGCTTTCCCAGGTACTGTTAGGCTGGTGGCCTGGGACAGTTGTCACTGAGACTCCCAGGTCCCACTGTAGGAGGAAAGGGCCTTTATTGCCCAAAGGACCCAGCCTTGCCCACGGCCCAGTGTACAAGCTCCTCTCACAGGGAGTGACTAAGAAAAGCGCCTTCCTTGGTCCACCTCCCATGGGTACGTTTGTCTGAGGGCCCCTGCCCAGTGGGGAAGACTTTGGGACTCCCAAGACCATACTCACTTCAGGGATGAATCATAATGTGCAGTTTTGAGGCCTGATTGGCTCACCACCCAATGGGAAGTAGTGGCTTAGAGTTGCCCTGGACAACACCCCAAGGAGACCCAGGGGCTAGTTGGGACCAGATGCGGTATTCCAGGGAAGGCCGCTTCCTTGAGGGCAGGTTCTCAGGGGCTGGACACTCACTCCAAGGGCAGTGTTATGGTTCAGACCACCCCAAGGCCGCTTGATGCACACTGTCCTCAGAAACCCCTCCTCTTTTCTCTGATTTCCTCAGGGGCAGTGAATCCTCATCTTCCAACAGAAAATGGCCAGAAGAGATGTGGGGCCATGGCTGGTGGGGAAGTTGGGTGAAGTGGGGGTCACATCAAGGCAAAGCTGCAACAAAAGGGACTGACTTGTACAGGATGGACAAGAATTGACCTTGACTGTGAAGACTGATCCCAAAGGAGAATCTGAATTCTGAGTAATAAAAATATTTTCAGAAGAAGCTTCTGGCCTCGCAAAGTGACTATTTTGAAAGTGAAGGAAGGTCTGTAACCACGAACCAGCACACAGAAGTGGCAGGACAGATTTTGGCTCAACATAAGAAAGAACTTTCTAACAGCCAGCACCATCCAGCCATGGCAGGAAGTGAGCTTCCTATTAGCAGAGGTAAGCAAGCAGGCGAAGGTAGTCACTTGGAGGTATTCGGGGAGAGGCATTCATCCCAAATGCACTGGGCTGTGCTGAGGGTGGGGGAGGACTGAGCAATCATTGAATTATTTTTCAACCCTGAGAATCCATAATATATTTGTTTAAAATGACCATTTCAATGATCCCTCAAATCTGGGGGAAAAGGATTACAAAAGTCAGGCAGTCGGCTGGACTCCGACTTTCATGAAAGTACCTTTCATGACACTGGCTCCAGATACTTCCGCATCTTCGCAGGGACAGCAGCCCATTTCTGAAGCCAGAGATCCCTAGATTCGGCCCCGTCACAAGGGGTATTCCTGCCTTCTAAGCCTTGCCTGGATGCACACTCCTCCAGACCATGCCACAGCTCAGCTCTTTCCCCAGTGGGGCACACAAACAGAGCTCTGAGAACACACTGCTCTCCAAGCCAGCCCAACACGGCCACCCCTGGGCAAACACATCCACAGTCCCGGAGGCCTCCTACGGAGGGAAGAGCAGGAATGATGGGAACTGCTGGGCACTTTATGTCCTGGAGACTGGAGGAAGCGTCGTGTTCTCTCCCCCATGCTCCCCTCTGCCAGGCCTTTTACAGATGGGTAACTGGGGCACTGGCTAGTGGGACAAAGAGGGACAGAGTCCATGAGAAGACTGCTGCTCCTCTGTCCCAACCAGAAAGCCCTCCTGCGGCCTCCCTGAATACACATCAGCCAACACTTCACTTGTCATAATAAACTGCCTAGCTCCAGCTCAAAATGGCAAGAAAAAGGTGGTTCTGATCAGAGGACATGTGGATTCCAAAGGGTGGACTTCATCACACGAGGAATCAAGTCCTGCTACACAATTAATACAGATTAGTATAGTCCCCGCCTCATACCACTGGCGAGACACTCTCAAGACTGGCTGACATGAGCTTCTTGGGACTCCCCTCCCCAGTGCTGCTGGGGTCCTCCTACCTGTACCGTATTAATCGAATAATCTTATTGTTCATAAAATCCAGAGCGTGTGGGTGAGAAGAATCGATGCAGAAGCCATCACTCAGCGCGATTTTCAGGACCTCCTCCACGAAGACCTGGAAGCTGTTGATTTGCTTGTTGGCGGGCACCACCCAGAGCCTCTTGAGGTTTTGCTTGGTGTACTCCTCCTCCGGCAGGCCCTCCACATTGGCCACCCAGTCCAGGGTCAGGTGGTTGGGGTCCTGCAAGTGGCTGGTGATGGAGGAGAGGTTGCCATTGGAGCAATAGAAGAGCTTGGAGCCAAGGAGCTTGAGGAAGAGGCAAGAGGTGCTGAAGATGTTGGCATTGAAGACCTCCATGCTGGAGGACGACAGGCTGTAGATCTGGGGTGCCTCACGCACGGTGAAGTGGACTGTCTGCACATGCTGGTTCAGTGTGATGTTGAGCATGGCGTTCTTCTCTGCCTTGGAGAGCTCCACCTCCTTCTCCTGCAGGGCCTCAATCAGGGGCTGCACCTGATAGAAGTCGGCTTCCCTGCGGAGCAGGCCCATTTCCTGGAAGTCCTCAGGCAGGTCCAGGTGGGAGGTCCGCAGGAAATTGAGGATGTAGCGGAACACTTTCCCGTCACGGTCGATGAAGCAGTTGCCCTGGCTGTCCCTCTTGGTGGGCATCTTCCCACTGAACATGGCGCCCAGCATGGAGTCAGGGAAGCTGGTCAGGGTTGCCAGTGAGGTTGTGTAGAGCTTCCCCCCAACGTTCAGTGTGATGGGGTCAGACATGGCAGGAGGCTTGGATGCCAAGAAGTAGTCCTAGAGAGAGAGACAGGGGAGAAAGGACTGTTATTCCACTATATCTGGGTAGGCAGTTTTTAACTTCTTATGTAGATCAAGCATACACTCCTTGGGGTTGAAACAAATTAATACTTGATGAATGGCTGATAATTGCTGCATTGTGTAAAGCATATTAGATTCACCAGGGAGTTTTTTAAAAAGGAGGAGGAGCAAAAGGAAAAAAAAAAACCTCAAAGCCTGGGTCTGGAACATTGCCCCAGCAGTGGTCTGTTTTAAAGAGTTCCCTTAGTGATTCTAAATGTTCAGTTACAATAGAGAACCACTGGTCGAAAGGAAGAAGGGAGCCGGGCTCGGTGGCTCAGCCTGTAATCCCACGCCTTTGGGAGGCTGAGGTGAGTGGATTGCCTGAGCCCGGGGGTTCAAGACCCATCTGGGCAACTTGGCGAGACCTCATCTCTACACTAAATCAAAAAATCAGCCGGGCATGGTAGGGCACGCCTGTAGTTCCAGCTACTTGGAAGGCTGAGGCGGAAGGATCGCCAGAGCCCAGCAGGTGGAGGCTGCGGTGGCCGGGAGCGGCCACTGCACTCCAGTCTGGGCGACAGAGTGAGACTCCTACTCAAAAATAAATACATAAATAAAATAAAGGAAGAAGGGAAAATGTGCCTGGACTGACAGCAACGCTACGTGTTTTTACATCTGCTAGCCTACATAATAGTTGTATCATCTTTTGATAGACAATACCATCATCCATCCCTGTGGTGCAGATGAATTGCTCCTCATGCTCAGAGAGGTGAAATGCCTTGCCAGGATTCTAACTCAGGTCCCTTTATATGAAAGAACAATATGTAAATGCTTACAAGCCAGAGATCAGTATGCTCTAAGTACTTAACGAATGTTCTGCAACGTATGACTCCAGACCCAGCGCTCCTCCTACTGTACCGGTGCTGCCTCTGAATTTAATTACTTTTCTCTCTCAGATAATTTACAGTGAATGGCTGTGATTAGTTCCATTTCCATCTGTCTACCAGGCCCACAATAGGTCACTGAGACCTTGGGACTCTAAATGACAATCCTTTCTAGACTCACTGTTCCTACGCCAACTTGCCTTCCCATGAAGACGCTCTTGGTTCCTGGTGGCCTGTCCTTTCCTGTCACGATAACACTCCAAGCTTCTCTGAAACTGGCTGCAAGGTTAGTGAAAATGTGGGATTCTGCCCAGATCATCCTCCTGAGGGTACCTGACCCCCTCCTTAACCAAGCACCCCCTGATCTCCCAGCCATCAGCGTCTGTGGCTGGTGAGTCTCCTTCAATGAAGGTTCTGGAAAGCAGGGATCTACCCTCTCAGCTCCCAACATGATGCTTTCCCAAGAGCCAACCTGTAGAATGGATTCAGCATTCTTTTCTTGACCTGGCAGGTGAGGACTCGAAGAGACCTCGGCCCAGTGCTGCCCTCAAGAAGAGCCCGGGCTTGTGGGGAGACAAGAGACAGTGAAGGTGCAGTGACAAGACAGATGACAAGAGCAGGAGCAGGCCAGGAATGAATCCTGACACAGCAAAAACATCCTGCCAAGTATGTTCACTGTCTAGATGGGGAAACAAAGGTCCGAGCAGGTGCACTTCCCCAAAGACACCCAACAGGGGTGGTGAGCACTTCTCAACCTGTCTGCCTTCTGAAGAGGCTGAATGCACCGAGACCCCCCCCTTTCTCCAGGGGGTGGGGGCCATGCTGGTGTGGGAGATGATAGCTGCCCTTCTCAACTCTCTGGGGGGAGGGGTCCCTTTGTGATTCCTCCCCAGTCTGAAGGGCACTTTGATACTGCAGAAAAGCATGAAGCATATGGAGCACCTGAACAGAAGCGAGCCGGTGATGAAGTCACAAAATTGTCAGGTGGGCTGCGAGACAGCAGGCTGGGTGTGCAGCTGGGAGGGGTGGCTGCTGGCGGGGAGTCCAGCTGGGGAAGCAGCAGCTGGGGGGTGCTGAGGTGCAGGGCTGCATCTGGCCAACATTCTCTCCAGAGGGCCCAGGCAGGAGCTGAACTCAGGAGTAGGTTACTCACTCATTCCAGAATACTTTTCCTCCCTGTATCCCTCTTCCCAGGACTCTAGTCTCCTCCAACTCCTTTTCATTCTAGATAGTAATGTGTGTGTTCCAGTTTTCAGTCTCTCTTTGTCCTTGAAACAAACAAACAAGCCCTGCCTCCCCCCACCACCCGCCACATTGATTGGGTTTCAGGCCCAGGCTCTGGGAAGTGGCTCTACTCCATGGAAAGAGCAGGGGAGGCTGGGCTGTCTTTCCTGACAGCTCCTTGGGCCACAGAATCTCCTCCAGGCATTGGGGCTGAAGTGCTCAGAGAGTTGGGGGCAGGGAGCTCAGTAGCCACAGGGCATTTCCCAGATCCCTGGGTAGGTGCCCAAACTCCTACCTCTCCGCTTGCAAGAGCAGCAGAGCATCTGCCTTCCTGCCCCGCCATGACATCATGGCCCCTGCCTATTTGTCTGAGGAGAGCAGCACAGTCACCAGGCGGTCAGTCAGGGGCAGAGGCCAGCAAGCAGGCAGGTCTCCTATTCCCCTAGTCTAGGGGAAGAACACTACTACCCCCCAAGTCAAGAGCTCTGTCCTGAAAGTTTCTATTTTCTAGTTACAGGGCCATCATCACAAATCCACAGGCCCTGCTGTGAAAGGCACAATGTCCCAAAACAGGATAGGTGGGAACTGGAACCTGAGGGGGAGGGGCATGGAGGAGCTTCCTGAGTGTGGTGGAGGGTTTGTAGTCAGGGAGTGATGAACTGATGCCACTGAGGTTTAGTCCTCCATGTGTTCCCAGCTGCCTCCTGGCCACTTCCTCTGGATATTCCACAGGTATCAGAAGCCTAACAAAATTCCTCTGCCCCTAACTCTGCTGTGAACTCTTCTCAGCCACCCAATTGCTTGGGTCCAAGACCAAGGAGGCAGCCCTGACTCCTCAGCCATATAGTCTGGCTTCACTGTCTCCTGAATCCATCCCCATAGCTACTCCAAGACTCAGGCCTCATCTCCGCTCGGTCTACACCCCACAGCCTCACTTGGCTCCTTGCCTTCTGTCCACATTCCATTGTGGTCTGCAGACTGACCTTCATGAAGCACTACTCCCTGCCCCAACCACCTTGCTCTTCACCTCTCTCCTCTAACTCTGCCCTCCACACACTGCAGGCTCTGGCACTCCAGATGCCACTGAGTCTTTGTCCCGCTGTCACCTGCCCTGCCTTTGCCCTCCCTACACCAGCCTTGTCTATGTTCTCCGCTTTCTCTACTGTCCACCTTTCGGGCCCAGACTGTAAGTCATCCCCTTTATAAGGTTGTCCCCAAATCTCCACTAGGCTAACACCTCTCCTCTTACCTTACCTTGCACAATCCTCTCTGGCAGCGCTTACCATTCCATCATGCAGATCTGCTTTGCACAAGGCCCTTCTCCCTGGCTGCATCAAAATGCAAAGCACTGAACATCCGTATGGGAAAAAATAAGAACCTTGATCCATCTCTTGCATCATATATGAAAAATCAACTCAAAATGGAGCATAGACCTAAATGTTAAGTCTAAAACTATAACACTTCTAGGAGAAAATCATTGTGACTTGGGTTAGGCAAAGATTTCTCAGATAGGACCCAAAAGGGAAGAACCATTAAAAAATTAATAAACTAGACTTCATCCAAATGAAAAAAAATGCGCTTCAAAAGACATTGTTAAAAAAAATGAAGGAATAAGACACAGACTAGGAGAAAATATTTGCAAACACCTATCTGATAAAGGATTGTTACCAGAATATATATACAGAGAATATATAGAATCTAAAGAATTCTCAAAACCTAGTAAGAAAACAACTCATAAAAAATGAGCAAAAGAGTTTTGGTCCCTTCCCCTACCTTGGGGAGGTGAATCTTCTCTCACTTTCTCTCTAATTTACTTCCTAAATAAACTATATTTTCTAATCTAAAAAAAAAACAAAACGGGCAAAAGAGGTTACAAATATGCCACCAAAGATCTACAGACAACTGGCAATCCCATGAAAAGATGCTCAAAATCATTAGTCATTAAGGTATAAAAATTGAAACCACAATTACATACTATTATATATGTATTAAAGTGACTCATATAAAAATCTGACAATACCAAATGCTGGTGAGCAAATAGCAATGGAAACGCTCACACATTGCTGGTAAGAGTGCAAAATGGTATAACCACGTTGGAAAATAGTTTGGCATACAATTACCACATGACCCAGTGATCCCACTTGCAAACCAAAAATAAAATTCCAATTTCCCTGACTGAACAGACCCTCTCTGAGCCAAGGGACCCCTGGAAAACCAAATTTTAGATCATGGAGAGAAAGGAGGTTGGATACGCCTCATTATAGCCCTTCCCTTATAGAGTTTAGGCACAACTGACTAGCATTAACATGAAAATAGAGCTCATAAAACTGACAAAACAGACGCTGTGGCAGTAAGATCCCAAATTTCAACCTGACTCTGGTATAGCACCACATGACAGACAGCAGGCCCTAAAGGAAATAAATATATTATACCCCAAAATATATTTGACATATTTTGGAGTGGCCCTATAAAGCAGTCTCTTGAGGAAATTTCCATCTGTAGAGAATCTCCTTCCCTAGATCTATCCAGATCCAGCAGAGATTTAACTAAAAGTCTGACACCTTTTTAGGCCCAAAAAGAGACATTTATCATCTATTCTCTCTGAAACCAACTACTTAGAGGCTTCATCTATATAACAAGAACCTTGGCTTTCACAAGCCCTCTATCTTAACTTAAGCATTTTTTCTACTTTTTTTTTTTTGAGTCTTTGACTTTTTTTTTTTTTTTTTGAGTTGGAGTCTCACTCTGTCACCCAGACTGGAGGGCAGCGGCCGCTCCCGGCCACCGCAGCCTCGACCTGCTGGGCTCCGGCGATCCTTCCGCCTCAGCCTTCCGAGTAGCCGGAATTACAGGCATGCGCTACCACGCCCAGCTGATTTTTTGAATT